GTTATGTTTGAGTGCGTTATGCTGTGTGACCTGGTTAGGGAAAGACTATCAGCACCATCCCTTGTTATCTCCCATTGTTCTCTGAGGGAGCTCAGAACAATGACATTCTGGCCAGGCTCCTGCTATGGCTGTCTGGAGCTCGTTAGCAGGTGGACACCTGTGGTGTTGTGAAGACAGGATTTCTGGGGAGGGGAAGGTGGATGTGATGGGATTATATTCTGATCTGATCACTTTCTGCATAAAAGTTTGTGCAGTTTGTCAATAAACGAGAGTTTGTTTCACCTACACTCAAGCCTTGGCTAGTGACCGGGGAAACTGGGAGCTAAGGATCTTCAGGTTGCGATATCTCCTGAGCAAGGAAGAAGACAGCGGCGGACATACTCATCCTGAGTACGGGGGTCCGTCACAGGGGAGTCCCTTAGTTTCTATTTCCTTCACACCGTAGCCCTTCAGAGTTATTCTTGACGGGTGCAGGATTGGACCCTGCTTTAAAAATTCTAATTATATATACCTGTCAAACATGTTTGGATAAAATGGGCCTTTGGCGTTGGTACCTCCACACTGTAACCCCTCAGTTACTGTTGATGAGCGCAGGAATGGGCCCTGTTGTAAAAAAATCTAATTATATGCACCTGTCACACAGGTGCGCAAAAAAAAAAAATTGGGCCTTGGGTGTTGGTGTTGTCTGCACACTGTAACCCCTCACAGTTACTCTTGGTGAGCGCAGGGATGGGCCCTGCTGTAAAACATTTTAAATTGTAAAAAATTTAAATGATATACACCTGTCACATGCGGGTGCGGAAAAATTGGGCCTTTGGTGTTGGTGGTGCACTAAACCAAAAACATTACTTAAAGATAGAATAGAATAATCACCCACAAAGTTAGGCAGCCAGGCAGCCTTCCAGAGATCCCAGATCCCCGACAAATTTGATCAGTTACATCTGCATCAGGGGATTGATATCTGCTGATAATCCAGGACTGATTCATTTTGATAAATGTCAGCCGGTCAACTGAGTCTGTAGACAGATGCTCTCTTTCATCTGTCACAAAACCTCCAGCAGCACTGAATGTCCGTTCGGAAAGTACGCTGGATGTAGGGCAGCCCGGTAGCTCCATTGCATATTGGGTAAGTTCTGGCCAGTGATCCATTCTCAAGATCCAGTAAGACAGTGGATAGTCTGCTGGAAAGCTCTCCATGTCTGCTCTTGCTCCTAGATAATTCAGCACCATATGATGCCGACACTGTCGATGGGAGCCTAAAGTTAACAGCCCTGGGTGCTGAGGACAAAAAAAATTTAAGGCATCAGTCAGGCGGCCCCCTTCTCTGACACTTTTTCTTTGAGCAACCAAAGCCTCAGAAACACCTCTTTCATGAAATGGTAACCTACCAGTGTCTGGAAAGGTGTTACACAGGTTTTTCTTCAACGCGTCCTCAAGTTGTTTCATCCTGTGCTCCTTCTGTGAGGGCAGGGTGAGCTATGCAACTTTACACTGGTATCATGGATCAAGAAGGGTTGCCAACCAGTAATGATCCCTCTCCTTGATACCACAAATCCTCGGGTCGTTTCACAGGCTTTGCAGAATAAGGGAGCCCATGCACCGTAAGTTTGAGGAGGCATGAGAATCAGTCTTCAGGGTCACTAAGGATGACACTATCATGAACTACCTCCTCCCAGCCACGTACTACTCCTTGTGTTTCTGGGGACTGAAAACCATCCCTTGAGGACTGCAGTATGTCATCCTCTGCTTCACAGGTACTCATTGATTGCCCTCTGCTGCGCAGCCGCTGCAGCATTGCAAAAGTTGAGTTCCACCTTGTGGGCATGTCACAAATCAGGCAGTTTGTGGGCAGGTTGAATTCCCGTAGAATTTCAGCCAGCCAGTATTACCACCTGAAATGACTACAGACTTTTCTGGCCTGCCTCAGAAGATCTTGCAGCCCTGGGTACCTGTTTTAAGAAATGCTGCACCACCAAATTGAGGACGTGTGCCAAGCATGGTACATGTGTCAACTTTCCCTGTCAGAGAGTGGAGAGAAGGTTGCTGCCATTGTCGCACACAACCATTCCTGGCTCAAACTGCTGTGGCGTTAACCACCTCTGGGCCTGCCCCCACAGAGCTGAAAGAATCTCTGCCCCAGTGTGGCTCTTGTCCCCTAGGCAAACCAGCTAAAGCACTGCATGGCATCTTTTAGCCTGACCCGTTGCGTAGCCCCTTGAACGCTTAGGGAAAACTGCTTGTTCAGAGGAAAACTCAGCGTGGAGGAGGAAGAGGAGGGGGTGGAGCAGACAGATCTCACATCACCACTAGCTTTTTTGGGGCATGGTAGCTGAACAAGCTCTGAGCCCTGTCCTGCATCCTTCCCAGCTGCAAGCAGAGTTACCCATGAACCATGCCATCCCGCCGAAGAGTGCCGTGAACTAAAAATAACGTCCCTGACCATGCTTGCTGGACCATGTGTCAACAGTAATGTGGAGCTTGCTGCTGACTGCCTTGTCCAACGAGGCCAAAACATTGCTTTCCACATGATGGTACAGAACTGGAATGGCCTTACATGAAAAGAAATATCGTTTGGGAACCTGCCACTGTGGTACAGCACATTCTGCAAATTCACCGAAGGGGGCAGAGTCCACCAGATGGAAAAGCTCCAGTTGTAAAGCTAGCAATTTGGCCAAGCTGGCATTTAGATGCTAAGCATGTGGATGGCTGGGACGGTATTTTTTTTTCGCTGCAGCAGCTGGGGCAGCAAAATTTGACTGCTAAAATCTACAGCTGGTGGGCTGCTGGCAGATTTGGCGCAAGGACCTGTGACACCCATTGCTATACCCTCATCCCTCTCATTGGAGGCTGTTGACATGGCATGATGTATAGAAGGGGTAGAGATGACAGATGAGGAGCGAGAAGTGTTAACCTTTTACTGGTGCTCTTGCCAACGGGCTGCGTGGCAGGTGGTCAGATGTCTTTTCAAGCACATGGTACCCAAGCAGCTGATGTTTTTGCCACGCTTGATCCACTTGAGACAGAGATTGCAAACAGTAATGCTGTGGTCTGCTGCACATGTGCTGAAAAACTCCCACACAGCTGAATTCTTGGAAGTGAGCTGGGAGACAACAGTGCCCTGCACCTGTGCAGCTCTGCTGTCTGATGCAATAGGGTGGCTGCTCTTATGGCTGCCCCTGGAGGACATACTGCCTCCTTGGGGTTGTGCCTCCTCCTCACTTTCCTCCTCTGTTCTATCGGCACACAAGTAGAGTCAGTGACCTCATCATCATCATCATCCCCTCTGTCCTTATCACTGGAGCCAACCTGGCAGTATGCTGCGGATGGGGGAACATGACTGCCAATTTGCACCAGTTTTTATTAAGACGTGGTGACATAGGGTACTTATAGAACCAAATGCATAGAAAGACTGTAGATTTTGATGGTAAAGAGTTGCTTACAAAAATATTTTGTTTCTTCAATGTCCATTACTGTATGTTTTTACAGAAAGGTGCAGGTCTTCATCTGGATTTCTTCTGCATAGCTTTGCTGATTATAGTGATGTCATTTATGGGGCTTCCATGGTATGTCTCGGCTACTGTGATATCTCTTGCACACATGAACAGCCTAAAAATGGAGACAACGGTTTCTGCTCCAGGAGAACAACCCAAATTTTTGGGCATCAGGTACATGTTTATATCTAAAGTCTAAAAAATGTGTAATGTATATATGATTTTTATCAATTATCTATAGGCATCTAAGGGCATCAAAAACCTTGACACTGTATGTAGAAAGGCAGAGCCAAACACAAGTGTACCTACTGTAAATGGAAGTCACTGAATATGATAACAATATTGCAATGATCTTGTATTTTATTCTTTTTATGCATGTGTTTGCAGGGAGCAAAGAGTAACTGGATTAGCAGTGTTTATCCTGACTGGAGCATCTGTTTTTCTTTCACCAGTCCTTAAGGTATTTTTGTACAGTAAATTATATTTAAAAAAACAAAGAACAACTTATATAGAGTTTTTTTGTATTAAAAATTGAGATAAAACAGAGGTACTTTGTTATATAAATTTTCAAGCATATGTGAAGCCACACCATCACATCAATGTGCGTCTGTGAATCATTGCCCTAATCCATACCTCACAACTTTGGAACTTGAGAAAAAAGTGACACTTTGGGATAGAGAAGATATGCAGAACACTCCGAATGCCACACTGAAAATGGGTGGGGTTAAATTGATCTGAAAATTGGGCGTGGCTTAAAGGTATGGTTAAATAGACACTGAGCCTACATATTATACAACTCTACACAGTTTGCAGTCCTTGTGCCCACAAATGAATTCATAATTTCTGTGCTATGAGTGAAATCAAAAGGATAACAAAGGAATATAAACAGAGAACTAACACTACCCAAGTCTACCTTTAACCGCTTGAAGACCAGGTGTTTAGATCCCCTACCTGGCCAGGCCATTTTTCAGTGTTCAGCGCTGCGGTACTTTGACTGACGTTTATTCCGTCACGCAACGCTGTACTGAAATGAATTTTATACCATTTTTTGGGGACAGATAGAGCTTTCTTTTGGTGGTATTTAATCACCACTGCGGGTTTTATTTTTTACTATATTCAGGAGAAATTACTGAAAATTTTGAGAAAAAAACGTTTTTTTTTTACATTATGCTATAAAACAACTAATATTACCCACTTTTTTGGTAAAATATAAAAGATGGGGTCACGTCGGGTAAATAGACACCAAACATGTCAAGCGTAAAAATTGCACGCACTCGCAAAATCGCAAAAAACTAGCATACCCAAAATTGGCCATAGGCGACGCTTTAAAAGCTTTTACCGCTCATCAGTTTAGTGTTATCAGTGATTGATGGCCCTAGAACTATTGCTCTCATTCCGACGTTCGCGGCGATATGTAACATGTGCGGCATAATGGGTGCAATCGTCGTTTTTGCAGGTATGCGCACCTGACGCATGTTTACATGCGTGTATGTAGGGGTGG